CTTCACGGTGCTGATTTCCGCCAGGGAGCAGGACAGGGCTGCGCTGGGGAAAGGCCCCGTTCTCCTTGCCAGCCCTCATCTCTCAGGAAGACCCGGGGCTGGAGCACCAGCCGCCAGCACCAGGCCCTGAGCCAGGCCACGGATGCCAGGAGTTGCTAAGGACCCCAGAGAGGAATGCCCGGGAGTGAGCAGTGGGCAAAGGAACTGCTGAGCCAAACTGGTGACAAAGAAGGAGAGCATCTGGCAGGCGGCGGCGGGTCAGAAGGAGGCTCCCAGGCAGCAGGCCTGGGGCAGCACCTCGGGCAGATGGCAGGGGGAGGAAACAGATGGACAGCCAGGGGCCCGGGCAGGAAGCGCCAGCACTGAGAGTGGGGGATGAGGGATGGGAGGAAGGGAGCAGAGAGAACGCCTTCCCTGGTACAGAACTGAAATCAATGCACTGACCCACACAGGGAGGCCTCGGAATGTCCTGGAGGGTCTCCAGGACCCACTGTAATACCAGAAACCCTGTGCAACTCTGTCCAGACTCATGCGGGACCATGCACCAGCCCCATCCCCACCCTGGTCCCCCAGCCTCATGGACCCTCAGCTGCTGTTTGCAGCTGGACCATCTTCTCTGGCCACCGGTTCCCAATCGGGGGTGGAGGGGACAGGCAGTTATTTGGGGTGCCCTGGAGGGGAATTCTTGCCAGCAGTTACGAAATCCACATGCTCTGCAGCCTGAATAAATAATGCCTCATACCCGCGTGGTACTATCATCCTTCCAGTGTACGCGGCTATTGCCATAGCTTAAATACAAGTGCCTTTAAAAGTGTTTGATGATGGGCTTCCCTGGTGGCGCAGTGGTTGAGAGTCTGCCTGCCGATGCAGGGGACACGGGTTCGTGCCCCGGTCTGGGAAGATCCCACCTGCCGTGGAGCGGCTGGGCCCGTGAGCCATGGCCGCTGAGCCTGAGCGTCCGGAGCCTGTGCTCCGCAACGGGAGAGGCCACAGCAGTGAGAGGTCCGCGTACCGCAAAAAAAAAAAAGTATTTGATGAAAAGAAACGCTGCAGTAGACGTTATACAATTCTCATTTCATACTGGACATACAGAAGATGATTTCTCCAAGACCCCTTGCTTTTGGAAAGGACATGCGGCTGCTTCTGACCAATGGTATCACCTTTGAGCCAAAGAATAAAAGAGAACCTGTAAGATCCTTATGTGCTTATTATCTTCTTTGATTTCAGTTGAAGAAGGCATGTGTCATAGAAGGTGTCCCAAAGTCACAGTGGTGACTCCATCAGCCTTGCACCGTGTGACTTGCGAAAAAGATATATTTTCACACCAGCAACCAATGACTGATATAAACTCTGAAGAAATAAATCTTTTCTTATTCACCTCTAAAAAAATAAAATAAAAGCATTACGAAATTCCCCAGTCCACCCATGTCACTGTTCCTTTTCCAAACCATGAGACACCAAAAATACTACTATGACTTAAAATATTACTACTATCACATTTGGCTATAAAGGGACAACCATTGGTTTCTAGATGTTAACAAGTCTAGACAGTTATTTAATGCCAGCATGCCCAGCAGGGCAAGAGGCGCTCCATTCCTCTCTCTGTGAAAGGTGAGGGCCCTTTATCCCTGGGAAGTATTTACGGCTTTGCACACCAAAACTTCTCTACAGGGGAGTTCATCACTGTCTTGTTCGTGAATGGGCAGAACTGGAAGCTTCTTGAGCCACAAAAAGGGGGAGGGGGCTGGTCACACAGACTAAGGGACATTTGTGATTGGCTATAAAAACGCTACTGAAAACCTAATTGCAAACAAATCTTAAGTGACACGAGAAATCATTCATCACATATTAAGCAAAAAAAGCATTTTACAAGCTGTAGAGTATCACCCTTCTTTTGTAAAACCAAAACAAAACCAACAAGTACAAATTATCTCTCTCCTATGAAATAGTAGAAAATCTTACTTTAAATATCAATCTTGGGGGAGAGGGAGTGGGAGACTCTAGTTTCTTCCCTGTGTTTCTCAAAGTTTCTACAATGAGCAAGTATTACTTCTGTTATTGGGAATAAAGCCCATAACTTATGTCTTATCATTTTTATTTGTTTGACCATTGATGGACAGCAGTTTCTTGTTCTCGGATCGGGATTGGGTTGGGGTCAAAGACTCTTGACAGTGAGGTTCTTTGCTGCCCTTAACTCTGCAGCTTCCAGGAAACAGGGCATGGGGGTGCAGGTTGCATTTGGGAACCAAATGATCTGAAACAGAACACGGATGGGTGGGCCATTCTGGGCTATGCTAGCTCATTCTCCACTCACAGGTCTATTCACGGTTATATCGGAGGCTGCAATCCCCCAAAGTCTAACTCCATTTGGAATCCCGGCTGTGAATGTCCAAGGGAAGACCATACTTGCTCCGACCTCCTAGAAAGTCTTTAGGATGCTCTCTCTGGCCAGAAAACTCAGGCACTCTCCCCCGACTCACACACCCACTTAGGCTCCTTCAATCGTATTTCTGACAATTCACCTCTTTAGAATCGCAAATAAGTACTTGCAGTGCCTTCGTTCTATACTGAAATGAATAAGATGCATCCTGAATATGAGCCTAATCCCTGTGACAACCAAACAAAGCTTCCACAAAGCTCCAAAATGACCCCTAGGGGGCTGTACAGCCCCAGGTTGAGAACCATCCCTTCAATGGTGGGTTGATATCGACATGATTACTTCTGGGATAGTCTCAGAATAAGGACCATATCCTCAGCACTATCTGGCAGACCCTAGATGGTCTAGTCTTGGAATACTTCTCCAGACTCACCCACATCACTCCCAGCCTTGTTCCTTCCCTCCAACCATTATCACTACTCCTTCCTCCAGCCTCAGAGCCATTGTCTGTGCTCTTCCTTCTTTTGGTAACACTGTTCCCTCATCCTTCAAATATCCTTTCCTCAGAGAAGCCCATCCTTACCTCCCAGACAGGGCAGACCCCCTAGTTAATTCTCTATGACACTGAGGACCTCTCTTTCATAGCTTTTGTCCCAGTTTATAATTTTATATTTAAAATAATTTGATTAATACTTTCCCTATTACAGCATAAAGAGAACAGGAGCTGACCTGTCTGGTTTACTCTGCTTTCCACACTGCCCTAGCATATAGTAGGTGCTCAATATTTACTAAGTAAAGGAACCTTCTTGGAATTCCCCGGTGGTCCAGTGGTTAGGACTCCATGCTCTCACTGCAAGGGCCTGGATTCAATACCTGGTCGAGGAACTAAGATCCCACAAGCCCCGTGGTGCAGCCAAAAAATAAAAATAAAATAAAGGAACCTCCTGGAAGACACTTAAATTTCCATCTTTACTGCTTATGAAACTACACACTGATTCTCCTTCCCTATTATGGTTCTGCAAATGTCCCAGTCACTGCCGAAAGGATCTATCTTGCTAACGGCTGTATTCCACACGCCTCGCTTGCACAGAGGTAAGAAGAGAGCAGATGCTCAAGAAGTGAGAGAAGCCTCTTTCTACGTGTCAGGGTGGGAAGGGGAAGAACTGCCCAACACTGGCCCATGTCTCACCCTACCTCCTTCCTTTCCACCACCCCAGCATCACCCAGCTCTGACTTACGCACACTGAATAAGGACATGGAGAGGCCAACGGGGCACGCCCAGCCCGACACACCCAATTCATCTCTCACGATTCAACTCAAATGTCACCTTCGTCTTCCCTCCATCCTTCCTCCCTTATGTGGGCAACCACAGACCTTTCATCTCCCCAACCAGGGAGTTTGGGGACTTGTGCGTCTCCTCAGAACCAAAGATTCCTTGAGGGCAAGGGCTTTGTCAAATCCATCTGTTTCTGCAGAAGTGGAGATGAACACGGCACTCACAAATGTCTGCTGAACAAACAAACTGACGAGGAGTGCTGGTGGAGCCCTGAGCAAGGCCCTCTGGATCCCTGCAGCTCAGGCCCCTCAGGGATCCAGGTGATGCCAGGAGACCCGGCTCCAGCTTACACTCTGTGAAGTTCCAGATGGACATTCCTTCCTCGAGTAGTGGACTTGGGGAGACTCCCAGAAAAGAGAAGAAGGAGGAGAATGCGGAAGAGATGGACAAGGGGCCCACGCAGAGAGTCCTAAGTGGTCTCGCTGTTTTAATATGACCATCCAGCAAGGGCAACTTCATTCCCAGGGGCTCTGCTCAAACCAGCCTGCAGCCACACGGCAGTCCCCAGGGAAGGAAGATGTGAGAGTCTCTGGGCACAAAGAGAAGCAATCCTCCAAGTCTTTGTTCTCTTTGGAACAAGCGGCCCATCACTGTCACCTGCAACTTGGCACAAGAGCCTGATGTAAGAGGCTAGCTTAGGAGCTTAGAGTGAAACGGAGGTTTCTCTTCTCCATAATCTTTGTCCATTAAACTCATGGACCGAAACGGAGGATCTGACCATGATTTTTCTCCACCAAACTCATCATTCAGCTCCTGATAACATTTTCCAATGCTCAGTTAAGGCCTGACCCACTCCCACCCATTTTTTTTTAAGGATGGGGAGGTAGGCTGGTCCCCTCTATTTGGCTGATCAGATCTCTTAGCCTGAACCCCAAAAATGCCTTGCTCAAAACCAACACAGCTCAGCATAATTTTTTTTGTTAGTAACTAAAATGCCTCTACTTCCTAATTTTTAGTCCATCTAGAAGCTCTTCTTTGAGAAAAGGGAACTAAGTCCCTCTTTCCTTCAGGTCTAGCCCAAGCAAGAAACCAGAGCCCCCCTCTACACACACTCAGCACCCAGAGTAACAGAGCTGTGGATGCCTGGGCAGCCCTCATCCCGTGTCCAGGCCTGGGGCTGGCCCACCTTGGTAGGCCCTGCCTCTGGATCTGTGACCTTGCGTCTAACCCACATCCCTTCCTTGACGCCCCCCCCCTTTCAAAACTACCACTTCCCCCTCACCATTCTGGCTGCAAACATGACAAGGAGTGGAGTCACAAAGAGCCCAGCCCAGTTTCAAAACTTACCGAACAAACGGGAAAGGTGTTTAAAATTTTAAAATTGTAAGGAAGAAAAACATGGGAAGGAGAACAGGAGAACAGGCCGGGAAAGGTCTGCGTTGCTGGAGGTCCCTGCAGCGCCGGTGGCACTCGGCGCCCAGGCCTTCGTCCTGCCCGCTCCACAGTGACCCCCATTCCGGCGACTCCCGCTCTCCCCAGATAAGTACCGGCTCCCCAAAAGGCCTTCCCCATTGACCGCTGCCGTCCAACGGCCCCGAGAACCGGCCCGCCCTTGGAACTTGAGGGGCAGGGCCCGGGACGGCTGCCCCAAGGGTCCCAGGGCTTTCTACCCCAGGGAACGCCTGGCCTTCTGACCCCGCGCTCGGGCGAGGGTGAGCCCCGAGCAGGAAGCCCTGCGGCGCGGGGTCCGGGGAAAGAGACGGCGGGAGAAGGTCGGCTTCCGCGGCCTAAGCGCCGCCGCCCGGCCGCTCTCCAGCCCCGGCCCGGGTCCGAAGCGGCGCTGCCCGAGAAGAGGAAGGAAGACACACAGGAACTTTAGCCGTGGTTTCGGTCACCAGCTCGCAGGCTCCGCAGAGTGGCTGGAAAAACTTGGGACCTCCGAGAGGGGGCGGCGCGAACAGGCCTGGCGGGTGCGCCGAGTTCCAGCGCGGGGACTGCACGCACAACTCGCCCGAGGAAGCCCCCTCCAACTTGACTTGGGCGGCGGGACCCCCGCCCGGGGCGCGATGCTCCCGCCGCGGGAGCGGCCCCTCCGCGGCCACCCCGTGTGACCCCGGCTCGCGCCCGGGCCTCTCTTACCATCTGCGCCACTTTCAGCAGCGCTGCGTGGGTGCGTGGGTAGACGGGGTCCAGCAGCCCCTCCGAAGAGCTCGCGCCCAGCTGCCCCGCGCCGGCCCCGGCTCCCGGGGCGCTGCCGCTGCTGCACGTGGTGCGGACGAGCCCGGGTCCATGCGACATCGCTCGGCCCTCGCCGGCCGGCAGCCTCCAGCTGCCGAGGCCGAAGGCCAGAAGAGGAGAGGCTGGGAGGGGCCTCGGAGGCGTGGCGCAGGGGCGGGGTCCTGGGGTGGGGCGGGGCCCGCGCCCCTGGCCCGCGCTGAGGACGCCCACCCAGCCTCCGCCGGACGCGCGGGGGAGGGCCTGGCCCGCGTTCTCCGGAAAGGTGGCGGCAGCCCCCGCCCTCTGGGAGGCGCGAAAGTTGGGCTGGAGGGAGGAGGGAAACGGACGCCCTGGACCGTGGCCTTTCCGAGATGGGCGAGGCCAGGGCACAGCTGGGTCTCAGCCTCCTGGGATCTGGTTTGGGTGCGGCTGCGGGTATGTGCCAAGTGTACTTGATTGAAGTGTAACTCACATACACTGAAATGCCCAAACCTTCCGTGTTCAGCTCCGTTAATTGTTCTGTATGTGTATGTACACCTGTGTAACCACCGCCCACAGCAACAAATACCGGGCCGATACCCCCAAAAAACTTCCCTCGTCCTCCTTCCCTCTTTCTGTCACTATAGATTCGTTCTGCCTCTTCTCAGACTTGATGTACTTGAAATAATACAGAATATTCTCATTTGTGTCTGGCTTCTTTTCACTCAACAAGATGCATCGAGATTAATCCCAATAAAGCTGTGGTGAACATTCTGGTGAGACTTTTTGGTGGACAGAATCTCTCATTTCTCCCGGCAAAATACTTAATGAGTGGGTTTGCTGGGTCACAAGGTGAACATAGGTTTACTTCTAGTAGAAGCTGTCAAACAGAGATGCTACATTGCACTCCTTCCGGGTTACTTTTAAAATGAGCAAGCAGGACTACAGAAATGAAATGTTATCAGTGTTCTCTCTGAGCAGTGTGTCCCTGTGGCCAAACTTGATATATCTCCAAATGTTTCAAAATAACACAAAAAATATACCTCATGACATCATTGGATGCTAGTGTTGTCCTGTCATCAGAAGACTGTCAATGTGGCAAAGTCTTGATAATTCTAGAATGTGGAGATAATCATGCAATCTCTGTTTTGACAAGTCTCCCAGGTGATTCTGATGACCACTCAAGTTGAGCACCATCATTGCCAAAGTTGAGGCATTTCAGGAATTGTAATACCATGTTCTCTACTTGTGTGTACATTTGAAAGTTTTCATGACCAAAAAAAATTGCCTCTAATATCTGTTTTCTGTTTAGATAATAGTCACGGTGCCTTCCATTTCGTTCTCTATAAAACAAAGATAGTTGCATCTCGGGGCTCCTGTGACAATGTGATAGCCGTGCAGGCGCTCTGTGACGGCTCCAGATGCATGTCGTTTTCCATACAGATTTACATCTTCACTTTTGTACTTTTCCAAGGCTTCGGAACCCATCATGGAGATGACAGGGGGTCTTTGTTGAAGCGAAGGCTTCAGGGAAGCAGAAAAACCCAGCAGTGGATAATTTCCCCTCCTTCCAGGGGCCTTCATCCAATTCTCCAGCAATCTTCTAAATCAGTGATTTTCAATGTATGGTCCCCGGCTCAGCAGCACCAGCATCACCCCGGAACTGGTGAGAAATGCAAATTCTTAGCCCCACCCCCCCATCCACCCCAGACCTGCTGAATCAGAACCTCTGGGGGTGAGGCTCAGCAATCTGTGTTTTGGCAAGGTCGGCCCTCCACCTCCCACGTGATTCAGATGCATGACGGAGTTTGAGAACCACTGGCATTTCCGGAGTCCACTGGAGCTGAGACTTGGCTGGGTTTCTCGGACTGCTGTTGGCCCACGTGCCACCCAGCTTAGATCGGAAATAATCACTGCTGGTGGCCACTCTGTGTTAATCATTTTATCATGATCACTTAAAAGCCCGAGCGAGAGGCCTGGCAGCACAAGAGCTGCGTGCTGGCCCGGAGTGCAAGAAGAGGTTCCACAGACCAGACCTGCGGCCAAGTACACGGAGGTGTCTACACGGGGTGATGACTTCTTGGTGGGAAGGGCTGCCCCCTGGGGAGGAAGGGCTTTGGTGGGTGCAGGGCTGGGTGCACTCAAAAGAGTGAGGGGGCCCACCCACCTTTGCCATCTTGTCTTGCCACCTCTCCAGCCACATCTAGCAGCTTCCACTCCTTTGGACCCCATGCTCAAGCCTGAATGAACGTCACGCCCCCTGCTATATCACGCTTCTGAGTGTTTGTCTGAACTCCCTTCTCCACTCACTGATGGCTGGTTAACAGCTCTTTATCCTTCAGTGTGTGTGGTTGAGATGGCCCCTCCTCCTCCAGGAAGCCTTCCCTGACTTCCCACCACTTTCCAGTAAGGGTAAGGTGACCCTGGTGGTCTCCCATCATTTGATTAGGAAGTTGCATGGTGATACTGTCAAGTCATCTTTGGAAAATACCACCTGCCACGACTCCTATGAGGATTAGATAAATTAAGGCCTGGAAAGTCCTCAGCACAGTGCCTGGCATATAGCAAGTCCTCAACAGTGTGCAGGCTCTTCTGGGCCTTTATCCTGACATCCATGGCACCAATCACAATGCCTGGAACACAACGGTGCATCTTTATTACTTTTCAATTTGATAGTGGAAGAACCATTTATTTATGCTTAATTGCCATGAAGCCCAAGAATAATCGTGACTATCAGGTGTGACTAACAGGTCACATCAATTTCACTGGTCTATTAAATTAAAACTAAGTCTGAACATGAATGCTCACTTTGCATTATTTGTTGTGCATAAAGAATAATCTTCTACTTGAAAATGGGGGGAAACCTATCTGGAGATTCAAGAAAAGAGTAGCGTGGAAAGAGCACTGGATTCAGAGTTAGAAGACCTGGCTGGGAATCCAGGTGCCTTGGAGCAGGAATCTCCAGATCTGCAAAGCAGGGGGCGGCGCTGCTTACTCACAGGGCTGCTGTGAGAAGTGAATGAGATTACACGTGTTCAGGCATTTGGTACACGTTAGTAGACCCTGAAATAGGCTGGGATGGAGGACGGCTGTGTCTGGCAGTTTGGGGCACTGGCAGACGGGCAAACACCATTCTGAGCCAGGACCTAGCAAAAACCAAGCAAGCAAACAAAGCAAATACCTCTGGGCTGCCCTTGGTTCAGACCTGCCCTTTTTGTTCATAAACCTTGACCAGCTTACACGCCTTGTACCATGTCCCTCCGATACCCCCAAGAAACGTCTGTAAACAACTGAGGGACACGAAACATTGCTAACGCTTGCTGCCCCGCTCAGGATGTTTGTACTTGGTTCCTGCCTACACTTGAGAATTTGGCGCTGACTCACACAGGTGGTCCCCGAATTACCCCCACCCCCGCCCAATGTGTCTCTGGAAAGCCCACCCTGTATGGTGGACGTCACGTTGCAGACTGATGTCTGGCAGTGGTTGATGAGAGCATGGTGACACTGGATGGATCAGCAGTGGAGCTGACCTTGGACAATTTTCTCTCATTTTCTGATAATTTCCTGTGTGTTGCCGTGACTCCTCAAGTAGACTGTAGGCTCCCTGTAGACCATCTGCTTTGTGAATGCTCTCCACTGGCTGTGACTTGCTATGCTTTGGGGCTGTACATTTGCAAGAGTGGGGCAACGGAGGACCCCTAACTCCTTTAGCAGTGGGACAATCTGCATAAAGGTCCTGGTTTTATTTGCTTGACCTTTGGAATGAGGAGATGGGACTTTGGTTGCTGGTCTGCCCATAAGTGAAGTTATCTGGACCTCAGTGTTCTTATTTGTGAAATGGGCTGATAGCGCTCATTTTTGAGGTTCAAACAGAAATGAATCTGAAAATGTTAAGAAAGGTAACAAAGCAACATACAAATGTAAGGAATAATTAGCTTTTTGTGCTAACGTCTTCTATCAGCATCAGTATTCCTATGAAGTTATCAGGACAGGGGAGGGAAGGAAGGGGAGAGGGAGGAGAGGAGAGGAGGCTCTTTTTCCTTCTTTATCCATGAAATCTTTCATAAATGAAATAAATGATGACCAAAGATGACTACACTTCCCTTCAAAAGGAATGGGCATGGTCCTCTGAATGGTTTTTATGCAATGGCTCTGGTCACCTGCCCATAAGAGAACTTGAAGATGTTATTTTTTCCACAAATAATAAGGATCATTTTTTTTTTTGACCTGCTGAAACCGCTGCCTTCTCTTGTCTTTTAAAAATATTTATTTCCTGATGATGAAGGTATTTCCTGCTCATTGTAGAAAATTGGGGGAAATTCAGAAAAAACAAAGAAAATTGAAATCACCCCATGATCCCACCACCTTTTACAGTTTGGTTTGTTCTGCCTTTTGTAAACTCCAAGTTATACCACAAACATTTCCTGTTAAAAATTACTCACAAAGGGTTTTTAGTGGCAGCATTGGTTTTTTGTGTGTGCACAACTTATTTTTCTCCATTATATATTTTTAG